AAACATTCCCCTGGGTGTAATGATGTATTACAGCTAACTGTTGAACTTTGCAGTGTGCTAAGCAAAAAGTAGCATGAAACTGCCTTCGCTTATGAATGACATGCTAATTGTATAAAGTTGAGTTGAATATCTTTTCCAATGGAATGCATATCAGGGAAAACAAAATCAGTTGCTTCACCCACTGCTGCCAGGGACATGCAATGTACACTATATTGTGAATTGTATTTATACAGATGGATCCACAATTGCTTAGCCACCAAGGAGTCAATTATGAGACCATGTGACCTCCCCTGATTTCCCCTTTCTCTTGGGATTATGAAAAAATACTAATACTATTGATATGGATGCTGTTATTATTATTGTATACTTTTTAATTACAATAATGTACCAATATTAATATTAGGGATATCAGGTAAAAGAGAATACTTTTGAAACTTTTGAAAGGAAAAGGGTGAACAGGTGATACATGTAGTACCAGAAATTGACTCACTGGTAACTAGACTAAGTACTCATGGAGCCCTCTAAATGCTCGTTTAGAGTTAGCATACTTTGATTTCATGGAGGAAAATGGCTGAGTTTTATTTATTTTTTTATTCTTTAAGATTGTATTTAGTATTTTAGAATGAAGAATTAATTAAATGTTATGTACTTAGATATGATTATTTCTACTTTTACATTATGGGGAAAATATAACATTAAAATATGACTTTAACCCGCAGAACACCTCTTATGTGTGCGGAGAATGTTTCCACGTCTTTTCCACCATGGTGGATTTTACAGCCCACGATTGTACTGTAAATGGAGGAGGGGCTTTCATGGGCCAGGATGAGAGCCAGTACCAAGAACAAATTATACATGAAGAGAGGAGTGAAGGTGAGAAATAAATTTATGTTTGTTTGGTATTGCGTTTGTTTATTTATTGGTTTACTTCGTTAATTTTATATTTTCATTTGCTACTAAAAGATTTATGTTACAGTTATTTCTTTGGTGATGTGAGATGATTCTTCCCCTTTGTTTTTTTATGTTACATTTTTAAAATAAACTAATTTTTAAGAATCCCCAGGCATGTGAAGAATATATTTCAGAGAAGTTGAGATTTTGATTCTATCCAGTATAACAATGTAAGTCCCTAGTAAGACATTTTAAAATCTTTGTATGAAATTCCTTTTAGGCACAGGACAGGCAGAGACTGAAGCAGACATGGAGGCAGCTGTTGCCAGCATCCTTGTGGAGAAGATGAAGCAGAAGGCACCCCAAAAGCAGACATTCCATGTGGTTCACTTGGAAGAGAAGCAGTTAGAAGAGGTGGCGTCTGGGCAGTTTGAGGAACCCACTATTGAACACACCAGTATCATAGACTACCAGACAGAACCAGATCCCCTGCTCCACATTGTTGAACACACAGATCAGCTTGAACCGGGGATGGTTATAGAAAGCATGGAGATCCCTTCAACTAATGTATACATCTATGATAATCCATTTTATCTCAATCGTTTGATGAAAGATAATACCTGTGGCAGGAGGGCTAGGCATGATGCACCATACACACATCGGCTAGGTATGTGTTTTCTACCATTAGATATATTTTTTTGTTGTACCTAATCTTTATGTGATCTCTCTAAAAGTAACTTAAAGTTGCCATCATCATTATCATCAGTCATCATTAACCCCTTGGTGCCGGGTATGACGTGTACGTACGTGCTATGCCCACAGTGAGTACTTGTTTGATTGTTTTTACGCATAGATGGCAACACTTGTACTAACTCCCCAATGAGCCAGTTACGAGCACCGCCCGTCTCGGCCGTTTACCCGTTTCTTTGATTTACAAAATATTTTACGTAATCTTATTTTGCTGTTACAAATGTTAAAAAAAAATATAAAAATTATAATGTTTACGATAAAAATAACACCATCGATTTTCATAGCACTAATGAAAAATACGTTTTTCCCGCCATTTAAATCAGGCGCTAGCAGAGCCATCTATCGGCAGACATTTCAAGAAAAACATAGAAAGTGGGCACAATATTTTCCTCATTTTTTGTTCATTTTCCCCGGCACCATTGGGTTAAACAGAGGTATAGAGATATCATGGTCAAAACCTTTAATTGAGGAGTACATATATGTTCTTGTTTGAAATAGGCTTACAATTGATTTATAATCTAACTTTCAAGTATAGGAAATACAATATATTAATGCAAGATAAATATTTTATCTTTACTACAGGACCTTGGGATGATAGGTCAAGCAGACTCCTTATCCAGTTATTGAAGGAATACCCAAAAGCCTTTTTCATAATGGGGAAGAACTCCAAGAGAACAGAAGCATGGGAGATGATCCGTTACAAGCTCAGTGAAGCTGGATATCATTTTACCGTGTTGCAGGTGAGAAATGTTTTTTAATACCTATATATACTGAGAGAAATTTAGTTTACAGCACAGGTATATAGCTCTTTGTCTTGCTGCATTTAGATTCCCTTTATTGTAATGTATGTGACAGTTAATGATAACTTTTTTCCATTTCTCTTGAACATGTTTACATCTAATTTTGTTTGCTTTACTTTACTTTTGTTAATGTTGTCTTGCCTATTTTTAAAGATACGAATGCGGTGGAGAGAACTGTGCAAGAGGTATCGCAATATTGTTAATCACAATGATTTGCACAAAACTCGTCGCTCCTGCCAGTTCTTTGAGGAACTAAATGATCTTTTTGGTAAGTGAAATATGAGTGTGCCAAATGGGAAAATGCAGTGACACAGTAATATAGATGTATTGCTTTTTAGTTCTCTGACAAAGACCCAGACATCTGCTGCTCTCAGTATGACATAGAGGGAGCAATATTAAATCATCTTTACTATTTGACCACTCTGGGATTCGTATAAAACTTAAAAGGATTTTTCTTTGATAGGAATAACTGTCATTAGAGGTTAATGATTTAAATAAATTTCAAACTAACACCCAATAATTGAAAACAGAAATAGATAATATATAAATTTTTGCCATTTCTCACACAAGTCCTAAATTACCAACACCATAAGAACTTCTTAAATTACAGGAATCTGGGATAGCAAAGCAACAGAAATCCTGATCAAGGAGCTGGGAGCAAACGGTACCAAGCGTCTAGGTCAGAATGGAGGGACTCGCATGAGGTTTAAGGCCTGGCAACATATTTCCGATGTCCTGGCAGAGAGTGGATACAGGTGGGTTGTAAAGATAAAGAATGTACACAGTGATATATGTATGTGTAGATGTACATACATTCATGTATGTATATATGAATACAAATGTATATGTATTTGATTTATATATATTAATGTATATGATATGTATGTATTCAATATAAATGTATTTGTATTTTGATGTATATTTATATAACAAATATATATTTACACATGGTATTAACAGTATAATATGCAGATATATTGATTCTTTCGTCACTCACAGGTTCACAGCAGATCAGGTGCATGGAAGATGGAATGCCTTAGTGATGCTGTACAGAAGGATGGTCAACCACAATGCAAATTCCAACAATGAACCTATGACAATTGCTTTCAAGGAGTCTGTGGAAAGTGTGTTTAGCTACACTCCAGACAGCAAGATATTTGAAAAGTGTGAAAAGCAGCTTAATGAGAGAAGTATGTGAACTGCTTAGGGATATATATAATTTTTCTAAGGGATTATTTGGGGTTCATAGTGTACAATTTTTGTGTTTTTATGGGTTGTCTCTTATTGTGTATTATTCAGTCTATTTTGTGTCATGTTATTGTTATATTAGGATATATTGTAAATAGTTTTTGCCTGGTTTATGTTTAACAATATTTGTCAGTTATGATAAAGAGGAGACACATCTGTGTATGAATATGCATTTTTTTCTATCATAAAACATTTTATTTTGTTCTACAGTGAAATGGACACCATCCCTCGAGCGATGTCTCTTAACAGCTTATAAAAATTTGGTTGACAGCCCCAAGAAAGAGCAAACAAAAAACAATGAACTCTGGCAGAGGATTGCTACAGTAAGGAAATTTTTTTAAAAAGTACTAAAAGAAACATTATGCATACTGAAGATAATTTCCGGTTACTTTTGCCAAAATGTATTTATGATATTTACAGTACTATATATAGATGCTTAGATATATCCCTTTTTTTGAGATATAAGTGCTTGTATTTGAAACATAGAAGATGATATTACAAATGAAAAACCTTTTTTATACTGATTGGGTTGTTATCTCTTCTTTTAGTATTTAGAGAAAGAAGCCAGTTATGTTACAACTACAGAAAGAGTAAAGACTCGTTTCTATGAGCTGGCAAAGCAGTATGCAGCCATGTTGCAGCATAATTCTGACCCAGGGACACTTCATCGCGAGTCAAGACATCATGAAATATTGGCTGAGGTATACTGTCTTCTTGGAGATTATATTTACTTATCATTACTATAATATGCATGTCTATACAGTCTTAATATTTATTCTAATGGTTGTGTAGGACAAGTCAGTAAAATTATTCTCATTAGCTTTTTTATTTAGTTATAAAGTGGTGCACTAAATATCTTATATTAGATGTTGTTTTGTCCTGGATATATGATAGCATTGCTTTCAGTATTCAAAATAACAACATGAATTAGCAAATTGCAACATAAGATAACATAGAATAGAGTTTTTTATAAAAGGGAAATAAAGAAGAATATATTGTGAATTTCTTTCCTTACAGATTTACAGCAGATACAATTGTTGGCCACATGATGGCTCCATTATTAAACTTGACAAATCCAATGCAATACGACTGAGACAATGTAAGTTTTTGTATGATTATTCTTTTTGTTTTAGGTAATATACTCCTCTTTTTTTTATAAGTTTTGATATTTCACCTAAAGGAATTTAGGGTAAATATTTTCAGATGAGTAGTAGCTGCATAGAAGATGATCTTTATTGACATTCCAAAACCTTATTATCTTAATGTATTGCTTATTAAGTAATATCATATTGTCACATATCCTAGTAAGTTTCTGATTTGCAGTGAGGTTCTTCAGGTATGAATGTTATGCCTGTCATTGTCATTACATTAATTATTTATTTATTTTTTTTGTTTTTTTTTGTCGGATTTTATAGTATCCATAGTATTATTGTATGTTATTTTTTTTTTATATTACAGTAGATGCCCAGCTTCTCTGGAGTGAAGAGGAGTCCATTGCAGTATTACAGCTCTACCCGAATGTCTTGCTAGATCACATTAGTAACAGTGATCAGCCTCAGCCACCAGAGGAATTGTGGGTTCAGTTGGCCAAGGCATTATATGCTTCAGATGGTTATGTGAAGGCTCCCTATGAGGTATGCCAAAGAGTGTCTTTTTGTACTACATAGCTTGTGCTTGTTTGCTGTACATAATTTACATTTATAGATGTCTGCTTATGTGTCATTTTATATGTCAATGTATGTATATCTATTTAAATATGTGTGTCTAAGTGTGTGTGTGTATGTGTGTGTGTATGCATTAGGGTGTTCCAATAAATGCAACTTTTCTAAATAAAGGAGACCTTCCTCCCTTTTTGTGCATGCAGCACAGACTAAATTCACCCCTTTTCAGTTATACAGCTGATGAATGCCGTGAATATTTCTTCCTTCTGCAAAAGATATACAAGAACAGGCTCTACAATAGCAAGAAAAAGGTGACAGAGAATGCAAAGACTTTTCCCTACATGGACAGAATGACGGAACTGCGGATAATTTCCAGCCAGCCAGGAGTGAACAGTAAGTGGCCTGTTTACATATATTTAATGTTTACATTTATTCATATCTATAGGGTTGTATGTTTGTTTGTGTTTTCATGATTGCTGTCATCCTTATGCTCATTCTTATTCTTATTTTTATGCTTATTCTGTTTCTTTCTTATTCTTATTCTTATTCTTATTTTTATTCCTATTCTTATTCTTATTATTCTTATTTTTATTTTTATTCTTATTCTTATTCTTATTCTTATTTTTATTTTTATTCTTATTCTTATTTTTATACTTATTCTTATTCGTATAATTCTTATTCTTATTCTTATTTTTATTCTTATTCTTAGTTTTAGTTTTAGTTTTTTTCTTGCTCTTATTTTTAGTTTTATTCTTATTCATATTTTGATATTTATTATTCTAATCCCAACAATAATTTAATTCAATTGAGCCTCAAGCAAAAAAAGTACATCAAAATTCTCCCCTTTTCAGTTATACAGCTGATGAATGCCGTGAATATTTCTTCCTTCTGCAAAAGATATACAAGAACAGGCTCTACAATAGCAAGAAAAAGGTGACAGAGAATGCAAAGACTTTTCCCTATATGGACAGAATGACGGAACTGCGGATAATTTCCAGCCAGCCAGGAGTGAACAGTAAGTGGCCTGTTTACATATATTTAATGTTTACATTTATTCATATCTATAGGGTTGTATGTTTGTTTGTGTTTTCATGATTGCTGTCATCCTTATGCTCATTCTTATTCTTATTTTTATGCTTATTCTGTTTCTTTCTTATTCTTATTATTCTTATTCTTATTTTTATTTTATTCTTATTCTTATTCTTATTCTTATTTTTATTCTTATTCTTATTCTTATTCTTATTTTTATTTTTATTCTTATTCTTATTCTTATTTTTATTTTTATTCTTATTCTTATTTTTATGCTTATTCTGTTTCTTTCTTATTCTTATTCTTATTTTTATTTTTATTCTTATTCTTATTCTTATTTTTATTTTTATTCTTATTCTTATTCTTATTCTTATTCTTATTCTTATTCTTATTCTAATTCTTAGTCATATTCTCATTCTTACTTTTATTTTTATGCATATTCTGTTTCTTATTCTTAGTTTTAGTTTTAGTTTTTTTTCTTGTTCTTATTTTTAGTTTTATTCTTATTCATATTTTAATATTTATTATTATTCTTTTTGTTTTAAACTCAGCAATGCCATTTCTAATCCCAACAGTAATTTAATTTAATTGAGCCTCAAGCAAAAAAAAGTACATTAAAATTCTCCCCTTTTCAGTTATACAGCTGATGAATGCCGTGAATATTTCTTCCTTCTGCAAAAGATATACAAGAACAGGCTCTACAATAGCAAGAAAAAGGTGACAGAGAATGCAAAGACTTTTCCCTACATGGACAGAATGACGGAACTGCGGATAATTTCCAGCCAGCCAGGAGTGAACAGTAAGTGGCCTGTTTACATATATTTAATGTTTACATTTATTCATATCTATAGGGTTGTATGTTTGTTTGTGTTTTCATGATTGCTGTCATCCTTATGCTCATTCTTATTCTTATTTTTATGCTTATTCTGTTTCTTTCTTATTCTTATTATTCTTATTCTTATTTTTATTTTTATTCTTATTCTTATTCTTATTCTTATTTTTATTCTTATACTCCTCCTCATCTTTATCCTTGTCTTCACCCTCCTCCTGATCTTACTCTTCATTCTCATCTGCAATTATATGAATATCAGTGTGTAGGTATTTTGTAATATGTACATTTGAAGAATTCTGTCGTATCGTATGTGACGCTGATTTAATATCTGGTCTATGAAAATAATGTAATTATTGTTACTGTTCATTATCAGAAATAAGCGACAAGTGTTCAGCTGTCCTCTCTGCAGCTGCGTCTCAACTGACAGCTGTGAAAGAGTGTGATAAGGAAAGTAGAAGGAGAGCGCTGGAGACTGCGTTGTTGAAATGCAAAATGCACTTAAGAGATGTTGGTCACATTCGCCCTCCACCATCCATTAGAGAGGCAAGGCTGCTAGTTTTTGTTATGGCTGTTTTGTTGTCTGTGTTTGTTTTTATGTTTTATGGTTATAATATGTTAAAAGGATTATATTTCTGTGATTTTGTTACAGTTATTTTGTTTTATGGTGATTGTACATTATTATGGTATGATTAATCTTAAAGTGACCATCCTGTATAAGGGGCTAAAATTGGACTTTTTGTATAGGGGCTACATGGACTGTTAGGTGTTGATTAGATTAACCCAGTAAGGGTCTCTTTAGGATTCATTATTTTTAAGCTGATATTCACTGTACTCTATGGTGAATATTGCCTATTAGTTTTTTTTAATATTTGATGGTAATCATATTTTATTTATTGTATTCTTATAATGAATCATTTAATATTAATATCATAGGTATGTTTCATTATCTTTCATGTCTTTAGTGAAATCATGCTTTATTATGGTTAGATTTTGTTATCCTGTTGCTCATGTTTTGTAGAATACCATGTTTTAATTTATATCTTTATTTTACAGCTTGGAGGCTTTTTGATGGCAGTTGTAAAGGAGAAAAGTGCCAAGCCCAAAGGGGAAATAGAGGATGTGAAAAAGCTGACAGATATTTTAAAGCCTCATTTGGATGTACTGGCTTTGATCTCAGGTATTTTTAATTTTTTTTTTATTATATGCCTTAGTGATATATTGTTTGTATATCTTTATAATGATAATAGAAAAGGAAATCGGTTATGACTATATCTTGGAAAATTCAGGCTATAAATGAGTTGTGATTGACCTCATATCTCTCTCTCTCTCTCTCTCTCTCTCTCTCTCTCTCTCTCTCTCTCTCTCTCTCTCTCTCTCTCTCTCTCTCTCTCTCTCTCTCTCTCTCTCTCTCTCTCTCTCTCCTCTCTCTCTCTCTCTCTCTCTCTCTCTCTTTTTCTTATGTTTGTATTTCTAGAACATGGAGCAGTGCATATATACCATGACTACCAAGCAGAAGCTTTAAAGAGCAGAGATAAAGAATATGAAAGAAGAAAAATTAGTAAGTAGATAACCTTGTATACATAATACAATATTCTTATAATACTTCTTATCATTTTGCAACAGGCAGGCAAGTGTTTTACATTTATTGTGAGTGTGACATGTGATAAGTCTGAAGATCCTTAAAGAGAAATATCCACAGAAGCGATTGGTGTACAATGGACGAATGACAACACTCGCATTATGTTGGAAACTATCAAGGAATGGCTCCTTCTCTGCCATGATAATCGAGAAATGGAAGAGGTTCTAGGATGCAGTCAACCACTATGGGAAGAAGTTGCCTATAAACTGAGTCGTCGCTTTAACAAATGCCCTCAGATTTGTTGGCAGTATTTCATTCGGGTATTTATAATCATGTTTTATTGTTTTTTGAAGAGATGATAATAGCTAATAGTGATAATAATAATGATAATAATAATGATAATAATAATGATAATGATTATAATGATGATAGTTATAATGATAATAATAATGATAATAATGATAGTGATGATAATAATGATAATAGCTAATAGTGATAATAATAATGATAATGATTATAATGATGATAGTTATAATGATAATAATAATAATAAGAAGAAAAAGAGTAAGAGTAAGATTAGAAATAAGAATATGAATGAGAATAAGAATGATAATGATAATAATGATAGTGATGATAATGATGATAATAGCTAATAGTGATAATAATAATGATAATAATGATGATAATGATTGTAGTAATAAAGATAGTAATAATGATAATGATAATAATGATAGTGATGATAATGATGATAATGATTGTAGTAATAAAGATAGTAATAATGATAATGATAATAATGATGATAATGATTGTAGTAATAAAGATAGTAATAATGATAATGATTATAATGATGATAGTTATAATGATAATAATAATGATAATGATTATAATGATGATAGTTATAATGATAATAATAATGATAATGATTATAATGATGATAGTTATAATGATAATAATAATGATAATGATTATAATGATGATAATGATAATGATAATGATGATGTTAATAATGATGATAATGATTGTAGTAATAAAGATAGTAATAATGATAATGATAATAATAATGATAATAATAATGATAATAAAAATAATGATAATAATGATAGTGATGATAGTTATAATGATAATAGTAATGATAATGATAATAATGATAAAGATGATAATGATGATAATGATAATAATGATGATAATGATAATAATGATAGTGATGATAATGATGATAATAGCTAATAGTGATAATAATAATGATAATAATGATAGTGATGATAATGATGATAATGATAATAATAATAATAAGAAGAAAAAGAGTAAGAGTAAGATTAGAAATAAGAATATGAATGAGAATAAGAATGATAATGATAATAATAATGATAATAATGATCTAATAGTGATGATAATGATGATAATAGCTAATAGTGATAATAATAATGATAATGATTATAATGATGATAGTTATAATGATAATAATAAGAAGAATTAGAGTAAGAATAAGAATAAGAATAAGAATAAGAACAATGATAATAATAATAATAAGAAGAAAAAGAGTAAGAGTAAGATTAGAAATAAGAATATGAATGAGAATAAGAATGATAATGATAATAATGAGGATGATGATGATGAATGATGATTATAATGGTGATAATGATAATGATAATAATGATGAAAATAATATTAATTATACTGATGATAATAATGATGATAATGATGTTAATATTGATAATGATGATAATGATTGTAGTAATAAAGATAGTAATAATGATAATGATAATAATAATGATAATAAAGTAATGATAATAATGATAGTGATGATAATGATAATAATAGAAAAAAAAAGATCATGAATATAATGTTAATGATGAGGATAATGGGTGATGATGATGATTATGATGGTGATGGTGATTATAACATTGATATCAATGTTAATGAAAATAATGATATGAATAGTAATAATGGTAATGAGCATTTTCTGTATAAAATTTACACCTATTTCAGATTAGCCTGATGATGAAAGCCGGGGGTTTTAAACGTGATGCAAAATCCTGCTACATGCGATTTAAAGAGCTGTACACTGAATACCAAGACGCTTTCAGGCACAACGAGCGCAGTAGCATTCGAGATCGTCAGAGGTCTTCCTTCTATTACAAAATACATTCCCTGTTTGGGTGCAGAGACAAAGTTCTTTCATATTACTCTGGTAAGTTTTTTTTTTTTATAGTACGAGTAGGTAAGTGAGTAAGTTAGTTAGTGATAGGTCTAAGTCTCGGTAAATTAGTCAGGTTAATCTTTTTTGGTAGTATATGCATGGCTGATGAGAGGGAGAGGACATGGTCATTGCTTCAGTATATCCAGCTCCAGTCATCCCTAAACAAGTAGTAAACCAATTGCAGCTAAATGGTAAGCCACATAATAGAGAGTGGGGATGCGTTGAGGATAGGATATAGACTGTATTATGCAAGACAGTCATTGAAGTTTTCACAATTGTAGATCAAAATGTGGCCATGAAACACCTACAGCTTGGCAGTGCTGGGGAAGATGGCATTACTACAAAGATGATAGTGCACTTTGAGGGAAAAACATAGCTGCTTTCTCTGTTTGAAGATATGAAGATGAGTGAGATTCATCATCTCCAATAAGTTTTTGTCCAATATCCTGCCTGTGTAAACTTTATGATCTTAGTACGCAGTCAGCCAATTGTTAAAGAACATTTGAAAACAAACCAAGCTGGCTTCAGACCAGGCTGGTCCTGCTTCTTTCCACCTTAACAATCACAAGCCAATAGAAAACAAAAAATGGGGAAATGCTAAACTGGAAAACATTCTCACCCAAATTACAAAGGCTTCACTCTTGACAGAATTCTTTCTTTCAAAGAAAACATACTTAAACTGAAAAGCAAATAAATAACATGAAATAACTTCCTCAGCAAATTCAACACCACTAGCAGGGAACAGACCAAAAAAACTCAAACAGACAGCTCTGGCGCTTTGCTTTTCTGAGTCCTTTGCACCAGTATGGTCATGCTATACAGCCATAGGTCATATCTGCCAAAGCAACACCCCTACAAGCCTTATATAGTCTAGCTACTTTTCCGCCTCCACCAGTTCAACAAGAAGCAATTGCAAAACATGAAAGGTACAGATAACTTTTTGATCCAAGGCACCCACTTTATGGTCACCAAGAAGTAAGATGAAGACTAAGGTCTTGTAAAAGCTTATTGACCATGGAGGGCCTGGGTCAAACTCAGATAGTAGCCCACACCCTGGGGAAGTGACGGGAGAGTAACTGCTAGCCATTCAATGAAGCCTTGCTAAGGACAGTGGAACATCACTAAACAGGAAGGACTGGGTAACCCTTAACCCAATGTCAGTGATGATGTCAGTGGGTGGCAAGACTACAATGCTATGCCCGCTGTAATATGAGGTTTATCTATCGTCTTTACACATAGATGGCTCTACAGGTGCTTAGTCACCAAGGAGTCAGCTATTTGTTTTACGTATCTCATCTGTTTACCCTTTTCCTTTATTTTCTGAAAGCTTCAGTTCTATTATTTTTTTGTCTTTGATGTTATTAATATCTTAATAACAATTTGATAATCATAATATCAATAAGAATTATAACATTGTCAATATTAATAATATTGGAAAGAAAAACACATTTTCCCACCAATTCAAAGAATGGGGAAATCAGGATCGGTCGCTAGGGCCGACTGATAGACTTTATGCTGGCTGAGCACACATGGAGCCATCTGTATGTAACAAAGCTCAAAACCAAAACTAAAATCAAAAAAGACATCTACATACCTGGATTCACCAATGGCCCAGAATGTCATTGTGGCAAGACACCACATACAATGGATCACATCCTTTTGAGGGTGCTCAAAGGCCCTGACTGCTTCTACATAAACCTTTTGGAAGCTAATGATGTTGCCCTATTATGGATACAGTTTTAGCAAGACCAGTTATGATGATAATTGACTAATTTACATTTAAGAATTGCGATGCAGTTTTTGGTAATATTTTCAGAAGAAAAACTTCAGTGCTATAGTGTTCAAGAATCAGGGATCCTACTCTCTGGAAGTCAGAATATACGCTGTTATATTACAAACTTTTCATTGGGAAATAGAAAAAGTTAACAGTGAAATTGGAATGGAAAACAAAGTACAGTGCAAACATATTTCAGGTGTTTATTATACCTATCAAGAACTAGGATTATAGGTTATAAATGGCTTCAGTACTCTCTTTGATATGCTATCCAATTTCACCTTTTTATGTTTTTTTTCCACTTATAGGATAATATATTTCACCTTCAAGGTCAGAGAAATGCATCATATCTTCACAGTCATAATTTTTTGCTCCCTTCTCCTCAGAGGACACACAAGAAACAAGAAACACTGATATAGATGAAGAAGAACTTATTGAGGTACTGCTAGCTGGTATGAAGGAGATCAAGAATCTGTCATGCCACAGTGTTCCCCGTGTTCCCCTCTTGCAGGCCTTGGCTCAGTATGTGGACATCAACTGCCATTCTTCTGGTCTAGGATTGAGTATACATGAGTGAGTGTTATTGAGAAGTAACCGTACTTGCATGTTGTATCTTTAATCTCGTGTTTTGTACTGTGAAAAAAATTCTTAATTTATGATCAATTTTGCTTGCTTAGCTATAGGAAGTATTGACATTCCTAGCAGCAAATTGGTCTTCCTTGACTTTAGATTTTAGTTTTAGATTTGCCTTATTCTAAGAGGAAGTGGTATCATTACTCAGCATAGTTTTACTTTTTGTTTTACCTTTCTATCTGATAGTAATTATAATTCAGAAGAGATAAAGACATATAATTTTCTACTTCTTTCATTTTTCTTCTCACAGGATATGGAAATATTTGGTACAGGTCCATGACGCTCAGATGGAGAGCATCCAGCAGGGAGTTGAGGGGCCACTTGGAATGGACTTAGATGGGCTCTGGCTTGACAACCCTAATCCAGTTGTGGCTTTTGGGGTCCAGTGTGTTCCTTATCCTAAGTGGGAAATAGTAAGTGCCAGTGGTGTAGGATATGTCACTGATAGATTATGTAGTGTGATTTGGAATGCATTTGAGTTGGATGATTATTTTTTTTAGTGATGTGGAAGTGAGTTCTAATAAGATTTTTATTATTTAGATCAGTTTCTAAGTGGCTTTACTCATGTACTTTAGTATTCTTAAAGTTTGAATAATTTCTGTGAGGAAAATATTAGGGAATTGGAATGGCTACCGAAATCATAAAAGGTAGTCAGAAGTACATTCACCTTTGAACAAACAAGTACAAGCTTTAATATTTGATTAAAGCAAAAAGCTTGGTATGTAATGCTAAAAGTCTACATGTATTTTCGAAATTATCCTTGCAACTAACAAAATACATTTTGTACCCTTAGGTCAGTGAATGGTCCCTAGAAGAACTAGAGATATTAGTGGATGCCATTGTCAGATGGGAAGGAACATCATCAGACAGTATACAAACAGAGGAATCTTTAGCTGAAGATATTGCTCAACAACTGCAGGCTCATGGCTATGATAAATCCTCTGACCAGTGTAAAGAACAGTGGCAGTACATGGTAAAAACATACTGTCATGGAGGCTATCAGAATTTCAAGAGCCAGATTAACCTTGTGTACCTGTATCAGCCATCCGTAATAAAATCTGCCATATTTGATCCAGAAAATGGCTTGAAAAGTCAAAATCACCAATGTATTTCGAAAGATGAGAAAGTGCTAGATTTTTCAGGTCCAAGGGATACCATCTTAACAAAACCCACTAAGATTCAGCCAGAAAATAGTTCACTTGATGTTGACTTAGCATCTCAAGGACAGAAGGAAAATAATACAGAAAAGGTTACGGATAAAATCATGAACAGTAGTATGAATATAAGCAATGGGTATGAATGCCTTGATTTTGTGTGTGATACTACAGAATCCTCAGAAACACAGTTAAGTAATAATAATAAAATCTGTGTAGAGAGTAACATAATAAGAATAATGTTGAACATGCAAAAAGAGCAAATGGAAAGCACCTCTTCACCAAAGAAACAGGAAAATAAATATCCAAATGATGTAGATTGTGAAAAATTAAAAGAATCTAACAATGATGAGAGTGAAGTTTGCAAGACTCTAAGGGTAAAAGCCAAAGTTCTTAGCATTAGTGAATTTCCTGAATCTAAGATAATCATGTGTCAGGTTCAGAAAAGTGGGACAACACCAGGTTTTAAGAAATAAATCCTCTGACCAGTGTAAAGAACAGTGGCAGTACATGGTAAAAACATACTGTCATGGAGGCTATCAGAATTTCAAGAGCCAGATTAACCTTGTGTACCTGTATCAGCCATCCGTAATAAAATCTGCCATATTTGATCCAGAAAATGGCTTGAAAAGTCAAAATCACCAATGTATTTCGAAAGATGAGAAAGTGCTAGATTTTTCAGGTCCAAGGGATACCATCTTAACAAAACCCACTAAGATTCAGCCAGAAAATAGTTCACTTGATGTTGACTTAGCATCTCAAGGACAGAAGGAAAATAATACAGAAAAGGTTACGGATAAAATCATGAACAGTAGTATGAATATAAGCAATGGGTATGAATGCCTTGATTTTGTGTGTGATACTACAGAATCCTCAGAAACACAGTTAAGTAATAATAATAAAATCTGTGTAGAGAGTAACATAATAAAGAATAATGTTGAACATGCAAAAGAGCAAATGGAAAGCACCTCTTCACCAAAGAAACAGGAAAATAAATATCCAAATGATGTAGATTGTGAAAAATTAAAAGAATCTAACAATGATGAGAGTGAAGTTTGCAAGACTCTAAGGGTAAAAGCCAAAGTTCTTAGCATTAGTGAATTTCCTGAATCTAAGATAATCATGTGTCAGGTTCAGAAAAGTGGGACAACACAAGTTTTAAAGCTTCACTATCCAGTGAGTTATAATATACCTAATAATATTAGGTACCTATACATACCAAAAAACATTTTCTGTCCTGAGTACAAATTACAGACAGTGGAGCCAAATACAGACTCCTATAACAGAGAAAGTGAAGCCACAGAAAACACCAGCTTAAAACCTGAAGAAAGTATGCAGCATAAGACAAAGATGAAAGCAACAATAGAAATGCATTCCGAAAATAAGGGGAAGAAATATTCTTCCAGTAAGAGAAATATAGATATGAAAAAAGAGGATGGCAAAGATAACAAGGAAACCAGAGGAGAAAACAGCAGAGGTACAAAAAGACTGAAACAAGAAGTCTATTCATCAGAGGAACCTGTCAGACTAAAGGTTCAAAGTAATCAGCAGGTTATTAGTCCCTCTCATCATAAAGAAAGTATCAAAGGAGATGAATGTATGAAAGAGGTTCCAAATGCGGATAAAAGTATTGAAAGGGTGAGACAAAAAAAAGAGAAAGAGTCACAAGAGGTTTTGCAGTTAGCTGAGGAATACCACCAACAGTGTGATCGTGAAGATGACAGACTTGCCTCTCTAATGAGAGAAAGTCAAGAAGAGTTTGCAGTGGACTTCCAAAGGGTTCTTTCAGCTTTTCAAGAACTGTCAGATTTTCTCTGATGGTGGAACGATTTTTGATACATGTATGCCAAAACCAGTGCAATACCAGTGCTATTATTTTTTGAATTAGTAGTAGGTAACTGAGTAATAAAACTGGTTTCTCTTACTGAATTTTTATACAACCCATAAACAGGTTTTACAACTATCATATTATTCAACATTTCATGATTTTTAGATTCTGTATATAAATGGATTTTGAATAAAAAGAAAAGAAAAAGGCAGGTACTTCAGCCTGCAATTTAGCTGAAAATAGAAAAGCAAAGTACAATTAACAATTAATGATTTTTTGGTCAAAATATATTTATTAGCAGGAGTAAAATTTGAAAGATAATCAATATTAGTATAATGTAATTAGCACATACTGGCCCTGAAAATTATTACATTTCCTCATTTTTAACTTTTAACCCAATTGGCACAGACGGCAAGAGTACATGCCATGCCTACTGTAATATAAATTAATTTATTGTCGTTACACATAGATGTCTCTACAAGTGCTGAGTCACCAAGGAATCAGTTATTAGTCCTACCTGTCTCACCTGTTTACCCTATTCCTTGATTTTTGGAAATTGCTTTCTGTATTATTTCATTGTCTTTAATATTACACAGATTTTAGTAACAAGTTAATAATCATAATATCACTAAGAATGATAACAGTATCGATATCAATAGTATTAGAAAGAAAAATACATTTTCTGCCAATTCAAGAAATGGGAAAATCAGGATCAGTAATTAGGTCATAATGTCTCTCTCTGTCTCTCTCTCTCTCTCTCTGTCTGTCTGTCTGTCTCTATCTATCTATCTATCTATCTATCTATCTATCTATCTATCTATCTATCTATCTATCTATCTATCTATCTATCTATCTATCTATCTATCTATCTATCTATCTATCTATCTATCTATCTATCTATCTATCTATCTATCTATCTATCTATCTATCTATCTATCTATCTATCTATCTATCTATCTATCTATCTATCTATCTATCTATCTATCTATCTATCTATCTATCTATCTATCTATCTATCTATCTATCTATCTATCTATCTATCTATCTATCTATCTATCTATCTATCTATCTATCTATCTATCTATCTATCTATCTATCTATCTATCTATCTATCTATCTAT